AGGTGTGCGTCCTACACCAAGAGACCTGGGTGGCCTCAGACAAGCGTTCAGGTCCCTCTGGTGTGAACAAGCCCAAGAGATAATGACCTCCGGGGTCAGCCCTAGTGACCGGCCGGGTCACTGGGGCTTGGGGCTCGTTTTTAAGGAGCTGACTCGTCCCACAAGGAGCGAGGGAGGGAGGGGTCTGTGAGCGGATCCCGTGGACGGGGCAGGAAACAAGTTTCATTACAGCCACTTGTAGTAAAGGGAAAAGTCAGTGACCCAGTGACAGGCAGTGGTGTCCCTGGTGACCCAGGCTGGCACTCGGGAGGGGGTGGCAGGGTGGGGACCCCAATCGCCCAGTGGGGGCGTATCTCCCCAGGGCCTCCAAGGTGCGGGCTTGTCCTGGGGCACCTCTGCTCAGATGCCCAGGACAGCTCTCTGCACGGCCGAAGAGCCCCGACACCTGCGTGGTTCCCCCATGGTTGTGCCGGCCACTGCTCAGGCCCCGACTCTTCCATGGATAGGGAAGGCCCTGCCCTGGCCCTGCTCCAGCGTCATGGCCACCATCTGGGACTGCGTGGCACCGGACAAAAAGTGGCCCTGCTGCCCTTGGGTGGAAGATGCCGGCTCCCTCCCCCTGCCAGCTGCTCCGAGTAGGGGTGGGGGGCCTGGGGCTTGGGGAGGGGCCAGCACAGACCCCAGAAACAGTGGATCTCAACCTCACACGCCTCGTACCCCAACCAGCCTCCCTATCCCACAGTGTTTGGGTCGTCCAGGGTCACCCTGGGTGGCCCAGTCCCCTGCCCCAGCCACCCAGCCCCCTGCCAGGGAGGAGCCAGCCCGTCCCTTTCCTTGGGCAGGCCAAGCTGTCACTGGCTCCAGGGAGCGGATTCATCAGATAACCCTGTAAATCACACGTCAAAACACTGTTTTTCAAGGAGGCTCTGCAGAGAGAGAGTGCTTCCTCAGCCTGGTTAAGACGCATGTAACAAAATATATGTAAGCAAGTGGGCTGCTTAATCATGGAGACGAAGAGCCCCACGAGAGATTGTTCTGCTTAAAAAATGTGCTGGGGACTTGCAAATATGTTCTTAGAAGCAATTTTATTACAAACTGTCCCATCGGGCAGCGCCTGGGAAATTATGGGATGCCACGTTCATTCCTCAGAGGCTGACTGCAGTGGGAGGGCGTTGGGGGGAATCTATACCGTGGAGCCGGGGGGTGGGGGGCTGGGCCACGGGACGGGGAGGGGCCCCACTGCGTCCAGGGCCCTCCCCAGGCAGGGGCCAGGCGAGGGCTGACCTGGGGTCTGGGCCACCAGCCGCTCCTCCCAGCTGCTGTCCAGAGAGGCCCCGTGCGCCAGGAGACAATGCCCACACATGCAGAGGCCTGGATCAGGTGTCCACTGCAGCTGCCCTGGGGACTCCGGGGGCCTCAGCCCTCCCTCCCCACAGTGGGCACTAAGGTTCTGGTTTTATGCAGAATAAAAGGAGAGGGACAGCCGTCTACAGCTCCTGGAACATGCCAGAGGGCCTGGGGCCTGAGCGGTCACCAGAACCGTCTTCCTCTTCACAAGGAATGCATGAGACCCAGGCTCCACAGACTCTGTCTGGCCTCCCGCTTGGAGGGCCCTGAAGCCAGAAGACGCCCCCGGCTCCTGCTTCGTGGTGTCACCACCGCTGCGGCAGGAGGCCTCTGAGACAGCCCTGATCCCTCCCCATGCTCACGCCCTGCAGGGCCCTCTCCGTGGTTAGACCTGGTGACTTGCTTCCCTGGGACGTGGCAGGAGGGGTGGGTGTCTCGTCTGAGATGAGGTGACGGAACGACAGCGGCTCCCGTCTCGGCTGCTGGTGTGGTCTCCCTCCCTCCCTTCTCCTCCCACCCCCATGTCTCTAACGCTGGTTCCGCGGGAGGCCAGCTGCCTGTGTGTCCACGCTGGCAGCCCGGAGAGAAGCCCAAAGCGGGGGCCAGCAGGCAGTGAGGACCCGCCAAGCCTGGGGCCACCTTAGGGGCAAACCCACTGCCAGTCGAGCTGTGAGACGCCTGCAGTCCCGGCTGCCAAATGGACGGCAGCCCCATGAGAGGCTCTGAGCTAAACCACCCAACTACATCATTCTCAGACTTCTGACTCTCAGAAACTCTGTGAGACAATGAATGCTTGCTGTCCTCTGCCACCACCACCATCACCACCATCATCATCATCACCACCACCATCATCATCACAACCATCACGATCACCAACATCACCATCAACATCACCACCATCACCATCATCACCACCATCATCATCATCATCACCACCACCATCATCATCATCACCATCATCATCATCACCACCATCACCACCATCACCATCATCACCACTACCA